TTTAATCTGTTGTATGATCGGGGCACAAAATTTGGCCTTTTCACCCCAGGATCCAGGATTGAAAGCATCTTGATGTCTTTGCCTCTAACTGCCCGGTAAGGATATATAACCTTTTTAAAAATGAATTATATGATACCTATCGATGTATTTAACTACTTTAAAATTTTAGCTACTTTTTGTGATTTGAGTAAAAGCTTACAGAGCAAATGGGTATTTCCAACCATTCATACACATTTATTTTGTATTTATTTGTAACAATTATAATACCCACAATGTAATTGCACCTCTCCCACATACTCCCTATAATTCTCATCTCCCTTAAGGAGATAAAATCAACTATTTCATCCTCTCTGTATTCCCTAACCCTATGTACTATGAATGTACTTTCTAACGTCAGGCTTAGATTTGATTTTTCTGATTTTATAGGAAAATAAAGATAAAATAATCCTGGAAATCAAATTAGATATTTAAAATTTTTTTCATCAATGATATACATTTTATAACATTAATTACAGTAGATTAATATAATGAATTATGATGTCTGATTAATTTATAGAGCGTTCTGATGGTGTAGTTGACAGGGAGTTACATTGCTAACCCAAAGGTGATTCTTCTGTGTTGGTTCAAATCTACTAGCAGAAAAAAAGGCCATCTCCTTCCTTGTTATTCATAGTTTCTTAAAATCTGCTAGAGGGTCAGTCATGAGTTGATTTTGACTTGACAACAGTGAATTAAGTTTGAACAGTATATTGAATATTGCTTGTCCCTTCACCCAAATTAAGCATTAAGTAGATACTTAATAATTTTTACTCTTGTGTCCCTGGCTCTGTTCACCATCCCAGATGAATTCTGTATATAAACCTTTCCTTAGCTTTTTAAATTTTCTTTTTTTTTTTTTTTAGCTTTTTAAATTTTCTAAGATAATTTATTTTCTCTTCTTTAATTTTCTAAGATGATTTATTTACCTGTTTATTAAATTTTATTAAAAAATAATTAAAACATTCAAAAAGCCAAATTGGGTTTTTAAGGGGTGTGGCATGAATAGTGTACCCCTTTGCCAGTGAGAAAGTGGGGTGATGGTGGTGTCTCAGGAGTCTTTTTAACTTCTACTAAGTTTTTAGGAAAAGCTAATTGACAAACTTTATTTGACTACATAGCTTTTTAAAATTAACTCTTTTAGAAATTAATGTTCTTGGTGAAAATATCTCTCTAGGCTGAGGTATAAAGCCTGTTTGAAAGGCTGAGGGGTATTTCAGACATTCAGCATTCTCTTTTTGTGTTTTACATGTGACTCCATCAAGTATCCATCAGTGCTAATTGAGTTTGAGAATTTTAAAGCCATTTAGACAGAGCATAGTGGCTTAGTGGTAAGGAGTGTGATACTAGCCCAAAGACAGATGGTTCAAATCCTTCAGCTACTCTGCAGGAGAAGAATGAGCAGTCTCCTTCCATGCAGTTTACTATCTCAGAAAACCTGCTGGAGGTTCAGCTGTGGGTCAGTTCTGACTTGACAGTACATAACAACAAAAGTAGACATACATATGTATATATGTTGTTTTTGCTGCTTTTGAGATAATAATATTTAAGATCCATACTTTTTTTTTTCTTGGCTATAAGAAAGTAAGAATGATACGTGTCTAGAGGGAAATAGAAACGATCAGTAAAAAATATCATAGCTTGCTTTACTGGCTGACGTTAGAGTCCTGCTTTGCCATCTACACTGCAGTCATCTAGACTTCTAGGAATTCAACTCATTGCCATCATGTCAAACTGACTCTAAGCCGACCCTTTATTGGGTTTTCAGAGACTGTAAATTGCAAGGGCGAAGATTGTTTCTCTTTTCTCCCTTGGAGCCGCTGGCCGATTCTAACCATCAGAGAGGCATTACTCTTAAGATTAGTGGCTAGACTCTTCTTTCCATGATGCCACTAGGGCTCTCTTAGGAAATCAACATTGTGAAATCACCACCCTCTGCAGCCGTCACTACCTCATGAGTGGTATTGATTCTTTCCTTGTTTAACCAGTGTTTCCAGAATTTCATGTCCTTAGCTGAAAACTCTTGAATATCACTGTTATATAGTCAAATCACACTATAGGGGAGAAGAGAATAAAATAGACATGAGCACTTAAGATTTTTAGTAGGCTGAGTGATCACTTATTAAAATGCAGAACCCAAGTTGTAGTTGTGGGCAGATTATAAAGAAATTCTTTGATCATTCAAATAGAATTAACAGGATCAGCCACTTATGACTTCTTGTATTCAGCACCCTGGAGCCCTGGCACTACAATGGTTAAACTTAGTTGATTTTTTGAACTCATTTAATGATTCTGCGGGAGAAAGGCTTGGGACACTGTTTCTATAAAGATTACCACTTAGATATTTCTGGGGCAGTTCTTTCTGTCACCTGGTATCACCTGGTATCCAGTCCTACTTAACAGCTCCTTATCAATCACAACACATAGCCTGAGCTCAGAAGTCTATAAACTTAGTGGGTCAAATTCAAATCCACCGTGGTCTATTTTTATTTAGCCTTCAAGCTAAGAATGTAGCCTTGGGGTGGTGAACACACTTTGTTGTAAGCAAAAAGATTGGTAGTTCAAATTCACCCAGCTGTGCCTTAGAAGAAAGACTTGCTGGTTATTTTCTGAGAGGCCAAGGACTGAAGACTAGAAAGAGAATAGAGCCCCACTCTGACACACATGGGGCTCAGCGCTGGAGTCAACACTGTAGCAACTGGAATTGGACAGCTAAAAGTGGGTTTTATAAAGGATTGTAAAAACCCTGAAGCCAAAGAACATTAGCAGAAACTTTATGTGCCCTTTACTGAAAAAGTTTGATCTTTGATCCAAAACAGTTTTTCCTAAAACTTCATGTTAAAAATTAGCCATTTTTGGCCACATTTGTCCACTGTAAGTCACATTATTTGCATCAATATAGTTTTTGAAATAAAATTTTAAAAAGGAAAAGTTTTAATTAGAAACTTGGTAATATGTATAGTTGTTAGAAAGTATAACACATCACAATAAACATGTAACCATTAAGTTGAGGAAAGTTTGTTCATGGGTCACTTGATGTTCTATGAAGCCATGATTTAATGAAGCAAAAGTGTATTTAAACTCTGGAGTATTAATATAATGTTAGCCAATGTATGCCTAAGAAATAGTAAGAAGTTTGCTTTTATTGTTGTTCTTGTATGCTTTTGGGTTGATTCTGACTCATGGTGACCCTATAAGACAGGAGAGTTACCCCATAGAGTTTCCAAGGCTGTTCTTATAGGAGCAGATCATTAGGTCTTTTCTCCCATGGAGCAAGTAGTGGGTTCATATCACTGACCATTCAGTTAATAGCCAAGCGCTTAACCAACAAACAACCAAAAAGTAGAGCTTTCCATATAGTTTCTTAATATGATTATGTTTATGGGAACAGATTATCTTCTCTATCTCCTGCAGAGTGGCTTGTAGGTTTGAACCTACCATATGTTTGAACCTGTGGCCTTTTGGTTAACAGCCCAGCACTTATTCCATTGTATCATTAGGATTTTCATATTTAAAAGCCTAATGGGCTTATGGCATAGTAGGCACAATACAGACAAAGAAGTAAATTGCTGCTTTTTAAACGTTTCTTATACATTTAGAAATTTTTCATTTCTTTTGAAATAACATAAAAGAAGTATAGGGCAGTATGTGTCATTTATAACTGTTGTTATTCTTTCCTTTTGTTTTGTTCTTAAATAGATGGGAATACATGCATTCACCCTCAGAGAATTCCAAAGAAGCTGAAATTCTGGAAGTTCTGCGTCATCCCAGGGATTGGGTGCATTGATGCAGG